AGCTCGGAGCTCCGTGCCAGCAGGACCAGGGGTCCCGCCAGGCCAGCTCTCTGGCCACTGGGAGGGGCAGCCAGGTGTCACCCCGTCTATCACAGCACCCTCCCCTCTGGAGATGTCCCATCTCGGGGGAAGAACGGACCAGCAGCAAAGCGGGAAGTTGTGAATCTTTCCTAATAACCCATGAGGGGCGTGACCGAAATGAGTGCCATGCCAACAGACAGGGGGAGGGTGGGTGGCGTTTAAAAAGTGTAACAGGGGCAGGGCCCCCTCCCTAGAGGATACATGTTACACATTAAGGCATCATGGTTACAGGGAACATCCACAAATGAAGCTGCCAGTGTTCCCAGGACACTGATGGGGGAAAGGGCGGGCCGGACACAATTTTAGCCAACAAAGGGGTTCAATAGCTGCCTGGCATCAAAGTTCTTCAGCTACTTGGAGGCAGTAGCTGCCCTGAGCTGTGCACAGGAAAGCCAAGCGCAGGATCCTACACAGAACAAAGGAGTCTCTCCCCTTCAGCACCCACCCAGACAAAGGAAGGTGAGAAGCAGCAAAAGGCCTGGTGAGGGAGCGAGTGCTCCCAGCTCTGTGCCGGGACTGCACGGCCCTGGGACGGGCAGCTGGAGACCAGATGCAGACAGCACGGTTTGGGCAATGCACTCAGCGATTCTCTGGGGAGGGGGCACGTTACAAACTGAGCTCTCCGGTCAAATTATAACAGGGGGTGAAAGGTAAGAGGGTTCCAATGTCAGCACTTTGGTACAGGGGGGGATTTCTACGGTAGCCACTGTCTGATTCACGCTCTCTGGGGTTTGGCCTCGGGAAGGGCTAGTCCTTCCAATCCTTCTTGATGGTCAGGTTCCACTCCCAGGACAGGTGGTCAGTCTTATCATCATCTGTGAACTTGGATTTGATGTTGTAGCTGCCCCGGGCCAGCATGCCCTTAGGGGCTTCTTCCATGGGGGTCAGAAACTCATACTCCTCCGCTCGGGGGCCGTAGCTCCCAACCATGTATTCGGTCTTGTCAACTGGAAGGAGAAAAAGAGGTGTGTGGAGGCTGTTTGAGAGCCTCCCTGCACGTGGGGCAGGGCTAAAGCAAACAAGAAGTCTGTTACTGCTACGACAATCCACAGAGGCGCCGTGAGAACGTCACCCACACGTGCTAACGGCTCCAGGAATTAGCGCCACCACCAGCGACGATCCATTTACCGCTGCGCTCCGATGGAGACTGCACGTCAAGCCCAGACATGCGGGTACAGCCAGGACCGCGGGTGCCACCCTTGACACCCCCACGGGCACGCCTGAAGGCTGCCTCCCCCCGCTACGAGCTGCTGGGGCACCGCAGCCATCGCTGCAGGGGCAAGACCAGATCGCACACAACGCAGCACCGAGTCACAGAGAAGCACTTACTCTTCACGCCTTTCCGGAACGTGTGCTGAATATACTTCAACCCTGACACAATCTCCCTGTTAACCTGCAGAGAGACAAGCAAGGACTGCAGAAGCCACCTCCCGGAGACGCTGCCCACCCACCTGCAGGAGGAGACCATGATTCCTGCATCCCTCCACTAGTCGGGGCTCAGGCACTCCCCGTGCTGGGGCTGCAGCACTCCGACGTTCCACTCATTCCTCAGCTCTCAGATCTGAATTCTTACCCTAAAGGAGATTTTTATCCGGTATTCCACACCCTCCTTCAACACAAACGCTTGCTTCTTGTAGCTCTCCAGGTCACCTACAAAAAAGGGAGAGGGTGTCTCAGGGTCCCTTTGGATCACACTCGGGCGAATTTAAATTGCAAGAGGTGATCAGGACAGCGTCCGCAGGAGCAGGGGATGACCCCGGCAGGCCGGACAGCACATAGATCACTCTCTTGGTTTTGCACAGCAGGACCCTCCTTGCTGTGCTGCCCACGCTGCGGGAGGCAGGCCGGTGGCGCCCTCTGAAAGGACGGCGCAGTGACGAAGTTAACTCAGTTAACTCCAGCAACGCACCCAACAGCAGACAGCGTTCCCAATACACGGAGCCGGCCAGGCCGGGGCTGCGGGTCCATCCTGGCTCACCTGTCAGGTCCAGCTCCAGGGGGCCAGGGGCGGTAGCACAGACCAAAGTCAGTTTGGTCACCACCACATTTGGAGCGTTGGGATCTAGAAGACAAGCAAAAAAGTCTGCTCAACACCCATCCGAGCCGGCCAGGCCGGGGCTGCGGGTCCATCCTGGCTCACCTGTCAGGTCCAGCTCCAGGGGGCCAGGGGCGGTAGCACAGACCAAAGTCAGTTTGGTCACCACCACATTTGGAGCGTTGGGATCTAGAAGACAAGCAAAAAAGTCTGCTCAACACCCATCCCGACACAATTCCTTTTCCCTCTGGGCACTTCTTGAAGGAGCAAGAAAACCAGTGAGAACAGCATCCCCCTCGGTGAAGGTTTGGGCTCCCCACGGCCTAAGGCCCAGCCTGCCACCTCCCCAGAGCACCCCCCTCCCAGGGCAGGGAGCGGACCCCTCTGTCCCTGTGCCTTACTCCAGGGCCCAGAGGATCAGCACAGGGGCAGCACAGCCACGTGCCTTTGCACTTCTGGCTGTGCTCCCGCGGAAGCGCAAAGAGCCAGGAAGAAAAGAGCTCCCGGGTGGGGTAGGGATGGGGCCGGGGTGATGGACAGAGCTCTGGCCAGAGAGAGGCACGGCCATGTCCTGGGGCTCACCTGCAGTCACGGTGACAGCACCAAGCAGCGCCTCCTTGTACTTGCGCAGGCTCTCGTCATCCTTGTCCAGCTCCTGGATCTCCTGGATGCTCTTCTGGGCAGGCGGCTTATAGTTGACGGAGTGCTCGTCCTCCTCGTTTTCAGCTGCGATCTGGGCCAGCTGCTCCGCTGTCGGCTCCTGCTCCGCCATCCTCAGCCACGCGAGTTACACTGCAGTGAGGAGGGGAAGCGTAACCACACCGACCCACCCCACCAGCGCGGGCTCCTCCCCAGGGCACAGCCCCACAACACTGCCGTGCTGTGACCCCACAGGCTGTCCCCTCGCTGGGGCTCTTCAAGGACACAACCTGCTAAGGGCCTCCAGCCCCTGCGGACCCCCCAGGGTCTTGTACTCAGCCTGTGGAGCCCCACGCAACAGGTAGGAAAATCGAGCCTCAGTGCTTGACTCATAAGCTGGAAGAGGTAAACGCCACAAGCCGTAGCCCAAACTCTCTCCTCCACAAGATCGACTGGGTGAGGCTTCTGCTTATAACAAACCTGAGCCCAGAATAAACCCAGTGCAGTTCTGCCCTCAGCAGCACACGATTCCAACTCAGTCAAGGGCCGGGAGCCTCTGCTGCAATCTGGAGCTCGCAGTCGGTAACTCGATCAGATCAATCCACTCTGAGCCGGGTGCCGGGGGAGCGGAACAAGACACCTGGCCTAGCGGATCTCATCTTCCATCCTATCCAAGGATCTGTGTCACACGTGGCCAGCGAAACAGATTACGGGTTAAAATGTGCGGAGCTTGGTGCGGCCATCCAAGGCTCTAACGAGGAGACACCCGGCTGCGTGCTGAGGACTGGGGAAAGGCGAGGCCAACACCCCGGTGAAAACCTCGGTAAAAGCCAGTGGCACCCTCAGTGACTCCAGATGTTCCCCAGGGCACACAGTCCTACGGGTCATCCCACTGCAAATATCACCTGGGACTCTCTAAAGGCTTGAAACCAGAGGCAGCTTTGGAAGGCTTTTTGTACAAGCAAAAATGTTCCAGGAATGATCTGCTGACGGACGCAGGTGTTTCTGGCATTACCTGTTTTTTCCTGTTCGCTATTCGCGCCGGGAGCTCTGCCCCAGCGCACACAGAGCTTACAGCAGCCTGCGGGGCTGCACTCGCCAGCCGGCATCGAGGTTCCAAATAAATCAAGAACTAGAAAATTTACTCCAAACACCACAAACACACAAAATGTACTTAAATACGGGCTTAGCGATGATCTACCTGCACCTAAAGCTTCTCACACAGGCTGCACTCAGTAAGGCAGCCACCACCCTTCGTTCTTGTCTTCAAGCTAACGGATGTAACAGCGATCAGTGCACAGGCCAACCCCTCCGCTCCTGCCCAACGTGGTTCCCGGAGCGGGAAGAACCACCTTGGCACCGACACTCGTCACATGCAGTTTGTATGTTTTATAGCGACACAAGAGCCAGCCCGACGCCTCACCCAGCTCGAGCCTGGCACCAGCGGTACCAGCGGAACACGGGAGGTGACACCCAGGCTCCGGTGAGGTTTCTAGCCACAAGTATTACGAACGCTTTGTGGGGGAATGGGGCAGACGGGACAGATTAGACAAAGAAAGTGAAATTTTGCACATCTCTGCCAGAAGAAGAGACTACAGCAGACCTGACCTATCAGCAAATACACAGCGGGGAGAGAAAAGGACAGGGGGAGGGAGAACACGGTGTTCTCCTGCATCGCGGCACCGAATGTCATGGAAATCTGTCTCATGTCATGCATGAACAACTGAATAGATTTCACCCTGGCATTTGCATGTCAAACCTTGTCACTTCCTTTGTGCTCCTGCCCAAAAAAGCCTCCAGACTCGAAGACTCCCAGAAACACCAAGCAGACGCTCACTCAAGGACCCGCTCGGCTGCCCGATCCCCTTGTTGCAGCCTCTCATCTCGCATCCCAGCCAGATTTCACCTCCCAAGCACTGAAGAACTCCTGGAGCTTCCCCCACGACACCCGGAGCTTTCAGGAAATGGCAGCGATGGACTTTCAGCGAGAGCTTTAAAGAACCGAAGTCCCGAGTCACTGAATTCTGTCGACTCCCAAACTTCGTGTGATCAAGCCCCCTTTGGAAGTGTGAAGGCAACAAATGCCCGGGCACAGGGCCAGCGACGCACCAGTATCCACACGTGCAGCCCCCGTGGTGCTGGGTCCTTTTCCACAGTGTCAGCATCCGTTACCACCTTCCAGTTTTCAGACGAGGCAGAGACAGAACTTGTAACAGGTGGCTGATCACCACCTGCGAGCGAGAGGCCACGGGCACCATCAGGCAGCCTCTCCTCGACAGCCACCGCTCGCCAGAGCCAGCGCTGCGGGCGCAGCACAGCACCGCTCGCTGACAACCAGCCTCCAGGTGCGGCAGACAGTGCAACAGTTTGCTCCTACCCATCATCAGCACCCAACCTTCATCCCCTCCCACTCACAGACAGCTAGCAACAACGATGCTGTGGACAGCACAGAAAAAGAAACAACCCACAGCCGAAAAACCACCCCTGCCACTTGTTTGCGTTCCTGTGCCTCCAGCCTCAATCCTGCGATCCAGAGCTAAAGCAGCAGCCAGGCACACCACCACATGGATAAACCCAGAGCCCCCCAGTGCTCACGCGATCTCTGAACCGAGAGAACCCCCGGAAGAGACCGAAAATGGCTCTTCAGACCAACACAAACCACTGCTTCAGCCAGCGGCTCAGGCCGGGCCAGACGCAGCTCGTTCAGACGATCAACTGTTCTGACCAGGCTGCACCAAAGCTGCTGCTGCTGCACACCCAGCCTGGCCAGAGGCCCCTGCGCCGGGTGACCCTCCTGCGCTGAGCGCTGCATTCCTCTGCCCCAGGTCAGAGCGCCTCGGCTGCTCCTCCAGACACGCAGCCAGAGGGGAAGGGGCCTCCCAGCCGCACCAACACTTTTAATAGAGCCTGCACCCAACCCGTCAGGCTTCTCAGGCAAAGCCTCCCTTAGAGCTCAGGATTAGCAAATCAGAGCTTTTCCAGGTGGGCAAAAGAGCAGCCATCCCACTGCCAGGCACAGCACAGCCCAGGGACTCGATCGCGTGTGAGCTGCCAGGAGAGAGCCAGGCTCGTGTGTCCCGTCTGTGCCAAGACCTCCAGCGAGCTCCCACCAACACGCCAAGGAGACAGGACCTGAACAGCCTCCTCCCAAGGGCTCGGCAACTTCACAAAAGCTGTCCCGCTGCACTGCTGACCTGCAGCCAGGTGCCTTGCTGGAGCTCTGCACCTCAGGATTGCTCCAAGGCGTTGGAAGGAAACTCCTCTATGGCTCCTTTGGACACTCTGGAGATGCTTGTGCCTCAGCACGGCGGTGGCTCACTGGCTTTTGAGACCCCGCCGGGCTGCAGAGCACTGCAGGAGGAGGCTGCTCCACAGGGCCGCACTGTCTCCGCTCGGGTGAAATCCTGTGATGGGAGGTGGGAGGGGGGGTGTGTGGCGACGTCCGGGAAAAAGGACCTTCTCAGGCCCCTGCAGGTCCCAGAAGGCTGCAGAGGACAGCGGGAGGCTGAATCGCCTCTCACCTGGGAATTCGCACTGGCGGCCTTCACTGCTTCCTCAGGTCAGCAGTTTCTCCCGGATTCTCAGGATATTTTGCGCAGGACAAGGAGCCAGCAGCAGTGAATGCGAGAGCCCCACCTTCTGCCAGACAGAGAAACTGCTGGGAGCACAGCCCTGTTTTCAGGCAGACAGCAGCCAACAGCGACTTCTTCACACCCCGGGACAGAGCTCCCGCAGCAGGAGTGAAACGCGGGTTAGTCAGAGTCTCCTCAGATGAGAGAATTGGCCTCGGATCTCCAGGAGGCCAGAGCGCAGCCGGG